ACTGTACATAAATTATATTTCAATAAAATGCATTAAAAAAATAACCAGGTATATAGTCAACTTTAATCAATTTGATATTTTTCTATACTGACTTCAGAGATTTTTCCTTAAAAACAAAACAAAACAATCTCTATGGACTCTCTCAAGTCTTATTCCCTTGTCTCTCTCCCATAAATACTTACTCTCATGCATGTTTCTAGTAATTTTAGTATACAGACATATCTCGATAAAGAATATGAGGTATTTTGTGTGATTTTTAAATTTTAAATAAAGGATTTAATACTATGCATGTTATTTTGCAACCTGCTTTTTCATTCAGTATCCTGCTCCTGATGTTTCCCCATGTTGATGAACATGTTCCTCCAGCTTATTCACGTACGCTGTTTAGGATTCCATTGTCCACTAAGGAAACACCACTTTACAGAGAGATGAGAGTGCATATAAAGTCATCAGCCATCACAGCACACAAGAGCCTCAAAGAGAGACCTGGGGGTCTTCTGCTTATTCAAATCAGTTACTGGTCTCACATTTCAGAGAGGACAACCCAGCTGGTCAGCAACTGCACTGGTTTCTGGTGGGGCCTCTGTGTAGACAGGATGGCACGGACCAGCTTGGGCAACTTGACCTTTCCAAGTCATCCCCTCTCAGGTTATTTCCAAGCCTGAACAATGTAATTAAATTCAGCAAGCCCTGACTGAAAGCCTACTGTGTGCCAAGCAACACGCTGGGCGCTGGTGATAAGGATAGGGATGCTAAGACATGGCTCTGTCCTTAAAGACCCCAGTCTAGGTGGGAGGCATATGAGGTATGAGCAGTCTGCACTCCGTGGGCCGAGGGCTCTGTCAGTGTACGCACAGGGCCCCGCCTCCAGCCTTGGGTATGAATGAGCAAGAGCTGACCAGGAGGCAATGGGGGCTTGAAGCACAGGGAGGACCTCTTGGGAAGCTTTCACAGAGCTTCCTGCAAGGTTCAAAGGGACAGATTCCCTCCAGAATATTTTAGTTCAGACGGTACATTTTGCCAGAGTTTTCAGTGAAGGTCTACTGTATTTCAAAGCATGACTTGTTCCTTCATATATTCCAGACATAAACAACAGATCCTCAGCCCAACCTGCAGGTCTTGTCATAGAAAGGGCAGCTGCTTCAGAAACTCTGAAGGCCCTGGATGTGTGGGACCCCAAGCAGGCCCTGCTCCTCAGTCTCACCTGCATGATGTCAATGGCCATCGCCTGGGTCTGGACGCCTTCCACATTGTTCACCAGCCAGTGGACCACCTCGGCACTGATGAAGCAGCACGGCGAGAGGCCCTTCTGCTCAGAAAGCAGCTGGATGCCAGTCCTGAGTTCCAGGGGCACAGAGCAGGGTTTGCATGTGCATGGCAGCACCAAGCAGAAAGAAAAGAGAAGGAAAAAGGGACTCCCAACAAAAGCATTTAGTATCGGGGGGTGGGGGGTGATAAAGCAATTTCTCTATGCTATTCCTAAGGCATTCGGCTGCTAAACAAAAGGTTAGTGGTTCAAACCCACCAGCTGCTCAGCAGAAGAGAGATGATCAAATCTGCTTCCATAAAGAGTTATAGCTTAGGAAACCCACTGGGGGTCGCTATGAGTTGGAATCGACTAGACGGCAGTGAGTTTGCGTTTTTGGATTCCTAAGCCCAGAGAAATCCTCATGATAAGAAAAAAGGGTGCTACAAGGATAAAGGAGAAGGAAACAGACATTTACAGAATTCCTGTAGTTGTCAGGCATCACAAGAGCTATTTTACTAATTATTTCATTTACTTCTTACATCAACCCTATGATTCAGCCACTATTATCTATTTTACCAACAAGGTAACAGAGGCCCAGAGAGGTCAAGTAACTTCCCAAAGACTCATAGCTGGTGAGCAACAGTCATGGTATGAACCCCCCGTGACACGCAGCCTAAGTACTGCTGTAATACAAGCCCTACAGGATCCTCCCACCCTGCACACTCACACCTGACAGCCACTTACGAGGGATGCTTCATGGCTTCCAGGATCTCCGCTAGAGTGGAGGAGGACGTCAAGGAGCTAGCCGCCAGCTGCTGAGAGCTGTAACACAGAGCATCTGGTCAGCTGAGCAAGAAGGCCACACCCTCAGAGACATGAGTCTTAGGAACATGCTCTATTTCTTATGGAGATACTGACATCAAAGATACTGCAACAAATGCCGGATAGCTACCTCCTAGGGGAATCTTGCAGGTGATTTCATCTTTCTAAAGCATGTTCATTAAAAAATAATCATTGAAACTGGTTTTGTGTCCAAACTCACCCTTATTAAGCATCTCTCCTTCTAATAACTTTGAAAAGTCCCCCAGGGTGCTCTGGTTCACCCCAAGTGTCTTTCACATGTTGCATCATTTAATCTTCACCTGAGAGAGCTAGGTACCTGGTAACAGCACAGGGGACAGAACCCCAATGTTGCCACTTACCAGCTGTAGGGCCTTTAGCTTTCCTTGGCCTTCGTTTCCTCATCTGTAAAATGAGGGTAACACTATTCCTATCTTTCAGGGTTGCTGTGAGGTTCATGTAGGTAAACTATCAAGCATAGGACTGATACCCACAAAGTCCAAAATGGCAAACAATACTGAAATAACATCAACCCACTGAAACTCAGAGAGGTGAAAGGATCAGTGGTCACAAAGCTGAGAAGTGCCAGGGTCTGGACTTGAATCCAAGCCCGTCTGACTCTAGAGCCCAGACCTTCCCACCACCAGCTGCTGAGTTCTTCCTTAATGGTACGACTGTAAAACATACTCACTGCTCAACATGGGATACACACAGCCACCACTGTACCAAACAGGGGAGGGAGGGGCCCTACCTGGCAGCCCTCAAGCCTCCTTGGCCGCTCTCTTTCCTTAGCACCAGCCTCCTGTTCCTGCTGTATAGAGGCTCCAGAATCCAGGTTAGTTTTTCAGAACCTCCAGGTTACAAAAAGCCTTTTAAAGACCCTTGAAATCCCTGCTGTCAAGAGTCGTGACAAGACACTGTCCCATCTGGCTGAATGATGAGGTATGTCTAGGCAAGAGGGAGTATGCCCATGACCACGTGTAGGGTTGGCAGATGATGTTTCTCTATGTGTATTTGTACATGCTGTAAGAATGTCTGGGTATACAGCAGAGCTGACAAACTTTCTGTAAACTTTCACCCAAATCACAATAAAAAAAAAAAAAAAAAAAAAAAAAAGACACTGCCACATCTGTGAACACCTTCCCAGGCAGAGGACTGGGCTCCTGGAAGTACAGCCTATTTCCACGCAGCAGGCCCAATTGCTAGTAAGTTCTTTATGGTGACGTGGACTCTGCTCTGTCATTTCTAGTCACGGGTCCTACTTCTGCAGGCCATGTCATTTTGGTCTGCTTATCTCCAGCCTGAACACTCCCAGCTCCTCTTTTTGTCCCAAAGCAGAAGGAAACCTGTTGCTGTACCGATGTAAGCAGTGCGGAAGCAGAGAAATGCATGCCTTTCCCGTGCACTGGACAGCCACCCCAGCCTCCTCTGGGGCCGAGGCCAAAACGCCAGCCAGGCTCCATGGGGACAGAGGTTGGGGAGAAGTCAGGACTCCAAAAGACCAGACCCGCTCCTGCTTTCGAGGTGACCAACGTCTTCGTGCCCCGTGGCCAAGGGGGCAAGCACGAGGGAAACAAGCTTCTCAGCTTTGACGACGGCCTCAAAAGCTGGGGCGGTTACTCAAGTAAATGAGATGCAAGAAACGACTTTTTCCTCTAGACTCTGGATAGAAGAATCACTACATTTGGCCACAATTAGCAACTCATTCAGTATCTGTTTATTTTGCAACCAGCGAACACTGACCACAGGCTATCCTGTGCCGGGCTCTGTCCTGCCAGGGATGCCGTGCTGAACAAGGCAGATTCGGTCTGGGCCCGCTACGCCCCCTCCTGCCAGGAGTCTGACTTTTTTCACATCCTTTTTACATCTTAGCTATGCTGCGAGGAAAGCAGGGCACAAACCATTGATTCCATCTGAGAGGTGCTGACAAGGACTGACTTGCTCAGGGTCCCGCACACGATTCGTGGCAGAGTCAGAAATTTGACCCAGGCCGTGGGTTCCCAGCCACTGGAGTCTATGTAGTTAGACTATCCCCACTGCCTGGAGCATGAGTTTGGCCATTTCGAACCTCACCTGCTGTCGCTGGGGTTTGCAGAGGAGAAGCCCTGTTCCCCTGCATTCTGGGAGTTTCCAAAGGTTTGGCTGCTGCCTCGGTCCATGGATTGGCCTGTGCTTACCCCCAAGCTACTACCATCCAAGACTGGAACAGCCGTCTGGTCCACAGACACCTGCAGGAGATTTAAGAATTAATACAAACAAATCTCCAAAGCAATAGACAAACATGGTTGTTTCCATTCCTCTCTCATTCTCAATCCCCAGTGCTCCTGGTGGAAGAGTTCAGGGCGTCTTGAGAGACCAGGCCCAGCCTTGTGTGTACTGCCTTCTGGACGGGAGGCAATCGTTCACAGTAATTCTCAAGGACCAAAGAAATCACTCTGGCACAGACTTGGACCACAAGATTTACACTAAAGAAAAATCTGCATTGTGCATGGGAGGGAAGGACCCAGGGAAGAGGTAACTATAGACAGGAAATGGGAAGAGAATTGTTGCATTGTGGGAAACTGCAGTCAATGTCAGGCGAAAGAGTACGTGTGAACTGCTGTATGGAAAATGAATTTGCTCTGTAAACTTACCCCCAAATCACAATAAAAATTGAAGAAGAAAAATCTCTTGTTATACAAGTAGAGAAACCATATTCTTCCAGAGAATGGGAAAGGCAGACAGAGACAGCACATGTAGAGACAGACAGGTGAAGACCACACCCTCCAACCCTCCTTTCCTGCTTCTGCCAGCAGCACTGTTGGTCTTCCTCTCACCGAGGCTCAAAACCTCAGGGCCATCTGATGCTCAGGGCCCCTTTCGCCTGAGCATCACATCTAAAGAGAGGCCTTGTCCTGTGGCCTTCTCTTCCTGATCACTCCCATGCCTCGCCAAGTCATGCCTCCTGTTGGGTGGGACTGTAACCATCTCCTAACTGGCCCTGCAATTTCAGCCTCTCCCTCAAAAACTCTCTCTGCAAGCCACCTTGTTCAACATGGTGTCCCAGCAGGATAGTCTCCATTGTCATCTCCCTAAAGAATCATTCCAATCCCATTGCTCAGTTACTCTGAAATCCTTCAAGTCTCTCCATGAGCTAAAAAAGGCATTAAGGGTCTTACACAACAGAGGCCCGACTTGTGTTCCCACCACGCGGCCCACTATTCACCCACCATTTACCCACGTTTCGTTTCCAGAATAATCAAATCCTGCATGTGTGATCCGATGTGCCCTGTTGCCCTGCAATTTCCACAACCACTTACCACAAAAACTATCAGTCTTTTTTTTTTTTTTAAAGTGAGTTTGGGGAAAGTTTACAAGAGCAAATTCATTTTCCGTTTAATTGGTCATACACATTTTGTTTCATGACCTTGACTGCAATCCCCATAATCTAACAGCTCTCTTCCTACTTCCTCCCTGTGGTTACTTTTTTCCCTGTGTCCTTCTTTCCTATGCATTCCTGCCCCCTGAGCTATCTCCCTGTGTGCCCTTCTGGTCTCCCATGGTTGCTCATTCTAGGCGTTCATCTATCTGGTGGAGATGTTCACTTTATAGGCCTGTCCACTGTTTGGCTAGAAGCCACAGGCGTAAGTTCAATTCCAGGTCTGAAGGGTGTCTGGGGTCATAGTCTTGAGGGTTTCACGGGGCTCTATCAGAACAGTAAACCTGGTCTATCTTACGATTTTGAGTTTTGTTCCACGTCTTTCTCCCACTCTATCCATGGTCTCCTCTTTTGAGCCCCTTCCAAGTGACTGACAACAGTAGCCAGGAAACCTATTCGTCTTGAAGGGCTATTTTAAATGTGGTTTCCTGATTCACATGGCACCACCCACCAAGCAAGTTCTCTGTACTTTGCAACTTTCTGACCTCTCTTGGTATTTGCCTACTGGGATGGTGTTGTGCCTGTCTCATGGCCTCTGTGTGCCCCAGGAGGCGGGACTATGACCTGTTCACCTGAAATCCGTGCAGTATCTGTCTATGCTTCCCCTGCACAAAGGAGGTCATCAGCAAATATTTGCTGCGATTGCAATGCTTAGGGCTCCAGGGTACCATCAGAATGGATTCTTATATTTTCAGGTGTTTTGTTAGATTATGTAAAAATCACTCCTTCGAAACCAGGCTTCTCAACCTCAGCACTACTGACATTTGAGACTGGATGACGAACTGTTACAGGGTCTGTCCTGAGCACTGCAGGGTCTTCAGCAGAATCCCAGGTCGCTATCCACGAGATGCCAGACCTTCCACAAGTTGTGACAAATAAAAATGTCTCCAGATATAGTCAAATGTCTCCTGGGGGGTAAAGTGCCCCTGGTTCTGAAAAGAACCACTCTGTTCTCCTACAGCAGGTTCAATGATTTGCTAAAGGGACCACACAGGCTTCGCTGGCACTGGAAATTCGTGGAGTAATTCAGCAAAGGGCAGTCTGTAACTACCCTCACAATCTGCCCCTAGCCAGCAAAGCTCTGGAACACAGTGCTGTAAAAATTAAGTAAGAAGTTGACTGAGGGGGACTAGACCAAGATCTACTGCATACAAGATTGGCTCTTAGGTACTGCTCCCTAAGCCCCTATATCAGGGTTATCTCCCATCTAATGCATCCTGAGATGTGCTCCATCAGCCTAAGCTGAGGAGGTGATGCCAGAAACTTCAATGATTCCTGCAGTCTTCACTGTTGGAGCAGTTAAGGAGCTACCCTCTGTATCAGGAGTTGGCCAACGTCTTCTGTAAAGGACCACATAGTAAATGTTTAATTTACTATGTGGTCCTTTGATCCCTGTTGCAACTGTTCAACTCTGCTGTTGTAGCACGGAAGCAGCCATAAACAATACAAATAGGTATGGTTGTGTTCTAATAAAACTTTATTTATAAAAACAGATGATAG